AAGACCCAGCCTCCAAGGAGTGCACTGCAGCCATCGCTGCCACTTCAGCAGCAGCAGTGGGTGATGCATTCCTTGGAGGCCAGATCTGCTGTCCCTGTGGATCATAGCTGTCAACGTTTCCCTTTTTTTAAAGGGAAATTCCTTTATTCCGAATAGGATTCCTCACAAGAAAAGGGAAAAGTTGACAGCTATGCTTTGGATCCTGCCAACTGGGGTTTTTCACCTCAGGTTGCCTGGATGGATTGGCCGGCTGTTTGACCCAGAAGGTGAGCTGTTTATTTATTAAACCCTATACCTAGGGTTGCCATATTTCAAAAAGTAAAAAGCAGGACACCCCCAAAGTTGCTGCACTTCTATTTTTTTACAAAAATGCCAGAAAAACAACAATTTTTCGATAGACTTGCCTAAGATCCAGGACAAGGTGCCACCTTTTGGAAATTCCCCCTGGATGTCAATTCCACCTTTGAAATCCCAGTGATGTCTGGGAAAATCCAGACGTATGGCCAGACATACCTATACCTGCAGGTCTCAGGGCAGTTCACAGAATAAGCTGGTCTGGAAGCTTTACTTGCAGCATATCGATGGTCAAGATGACCCCTGCCTAACTGGTAGCAGCTGTAGTGCTGAGCTCATGTGTGTTTCACATGCTTTAAGGTATCCACAGGTCCCAGGCATGGCTAGAGGAGGAGATAATGGTTAATACCAGACACCTGTGTTCCCATGTGACATAGCCTGCCTGGCCTTATAGAGATCTTTACTTGGGTGTGAACAAGCCATCTTCTTGCTGCGTCCATCCCACAGAGTGCTGCGAGCAGGGGCAAGGAGGGAGCCGTCAGACCTTTGCTGTAAGTTTGTACTCTTCTTTAATAAATCATTAGACCTGATCAATCTGGTGGTTTAGGCATCTTTCTTTGGAATTCCTGCGTATCCGAAATCCTGTAGGCCCTCCCTTGACTCTGAAGGGCATTTCACCAGCCCTGCCTGAAAAATATGTGGTGATTATCTACTTGGACCTGATATCAATAATGGCACATAGGGCTCTACTTGCATTATTGGTTTGTTAACATGTAAGGACTTCATGCTTTCTTAAGGGAGGCGACCCAATCTTTTGTAATTATTTCACCTCATGAATACCCAGAAAGTTCATGACTGTGTCAGACACGAATGACCCAGTAATTATGTAGCTGATACCATCTTGGAATCCTTAAGATGCCATTACAAAGAACAATGATAAGCTTACAAGCCCTGTTTAGCACACACAAAAAGCCTTGATAAACAGGGTAGTAAGTGGTTTAAAAGTATCTGACCGTTTTGTGCTATGGCAGTATGGCTTGTAAAATGCCGTGTTCATAAGTTATTAGTGTTTGTTTGGGTTGGTTTATTCTAAGTAATTTATGTGAAATAAGCCAGCCTGGCTGCTCCCGCCTGTCAGTGTTTTAAACCAATGAGTGAACTCAGAGCTGTGACTGATAAGGGGGAAGGCAAAAGAGAAGCAGCCCAGGCACATAACCACCATCTCCTGAAGGGGCCAGCAAGGGAACTGTCAGGGTAGCATAGGAGCCAACTCCTAGGAGCGCACAAATGGTGTTAATGCACCACTCCTTGTGATTGATTATGCGGAGCAATTCCTGCCCCCCCCCAATATTTTGTTCAGGATGGCACCCCTGGAGGATAGCCCTGCCTCCACCTTCCCTGGGACTACAGTGGTACCTCGGGTTAAGTACTTAATTTGTTCCGGAGGTCTGTTCTTAACCTGAAACTGTTCTTAACCTGAAGCACCACTTTAGCTAATGGGGCCTCCTGCTGCTGCTGTGCCACCAGAGCATGATTTCTGTTCTCATCTTGAAGCAAAGTTCTTAACCCAAGGTACTATTTCTGGGTTAGCAGAGTCTGTAACCTGAAGCGTATGTAACCTGAAGTGTATGTAACCCGAGGTACCACTGTACTTAGGAATCTGTGTGCCCTACACAAAGACAGAAGCTAGGAAACTCTTGTGCAGGGAGCTGGTTTTGACCAGCTTCTGAAGTTGCCCTGATAATATTTTGTACTGTACTGTTTGGGGAAGGGATGTGGCTTAGTAGTAGAGCATCTGCTTTGCATGGAGGAGATCTGGGGTAGGACTGAGTTTCCTGTCTGAAACCCTAGCTAGACCAATGATCCTACTTCATATAAGCAGCTTCTTATGTTTCTATTTTTGTGTTAATAATTTAAACTTTAAATTGCCCTGGGTGTCTTGACAGAAATGTGGTATATATTGTTTAGAGTGGTTTTTTTTAATGTAAATGTTTTATAAAGGTGTATGTATGTATGTATGTATGTATGTATGTATGTAAGTAAGTAAATAGTTGTTCCAGACCACTGATAATGTTGGTTGTATCTTTTTCCAGCTCTACAAAATCATTTTTGAGGTGTGATGAGCAGAAGTACACAGCATTCCAAGTGCAATCAAGTTAGGATTTTATGCCCCCCCCCCGGTATGTTTCACTTTACACTTACACTAAACGGCTTTTGGCATTTTAATGCCTATTCACTCAGAACTATCATTTTGGAACTCACTGCAATTTCATGTTCTTTTTTCTTATTTTTTGTTAGTGTATTTTTAAATTGGCATTGTGCCCTTTCAGTTCCATGCCTATGAGTTACTCAAGGGTTTCTTCTCACTTCTGAGCTCCTATGGAGCATCTTTTACCTACACAGATAAATCTGCTGCTCCCCATTATTCAGTACCTCATTCAAATAACTTATCAAAGTGTCCCCCATGCAATGCCTCAAATCTAGCTAACCCCAGAGGATCTATCACACACCCTGCCATTAAAGTTTCCACTCTTTGCCCTTAGTGCCTTTGATAGCTTCCTGATATGCACCAAATCCGTATGTGAAGCTCTGCATTTTGTACCTTGAAATGCTACCCCAGTTGAAGGGAGCTGTGGCATTCTACCTCCAATGTGAGCACATCTCAATGTGAGCTGTGTCTGTGGTCAGCAGGATTGTCACTGTTTTTTCCTGACAGAGATGCTGTTCTTTTAATAGCAACATAGTGGAAAATCTGAAGTGTGGGCGCTCTTGATGACATGGCTCTTTGAAACAATGCAAGAAAAATAAACTTTTGGCAGGGATTATATATTCAATACCTAGTCAGATTTTCCCTCACACATGCGCTCTCCATTTAACATTCAACCTGATGAAAAGTTCTGGCTTGCTCACCGTTTTGTGACCTTTCGACTGGACATTATAAAGAGATTTTTGTTTTTGTTTTTCATAATAGAAGTTAGGTTAACATGTTAGCTATGCATGTTACCATTTCCTAGGCTTGCCTTGATGGCTTCTGAGAACAAAATTATTTCGAACACAGAGAACTGGCAACTAGTGCCTCTAATTACATAATTATCTTTGCTGTGAAAGAAGCAGTAGCACTTTGACCCTGCTCCACTACATCAGTGGCCTTTAACAGCTGCATGAAACGGAGAATTGTCAGAGGAAGTTCTTTCCATCATTGTATCTTCATGTACTTGTTGAACTCCAGCTGTTAAAGGCAGAGAACATTGTGTCAAGAAAAAAGATTGCAACCCAAGCAGTTGCCCAGAGACAGCACATGTATGTATTTGTAAAATGGTATCATTTTATGTTTCTAATATAAACACTAGGATACATGTTTGAAAGGTTTGGTTTTGGGTGGCAGCAGCTCCTAATATACATCTATATTTTAAATAATTAGATAGGCACAATGTTGATAATTTTATTTGGTATGTATTTTTTGGCGGGGTATGTGTGTGATTCTACTGTGGTGCTGATTTTGTGCTGTTATTCAACTCTATATAACCCATGGGATGGGCAAGCTAAAGCTGCAGTTTTAGACTCATTTCGTTGAAAGCCTTCTTAAACTCAGCAATGATTAACTTCTGAATAAGGCACAATCCAAACTGAAGGTAAATTGATGAGAACTTCTGGTTATTATTTGTGTGATCCTTGTCTCCCTTTCTTAGACTTGGGGGAAGGGCAGAAGTCATACTTGACTAGTGGGTTTTATTTATTGCTAAGAATCTTTTAGAAGCCTTTTGAGAGCCTGTTGGGGCTATGAAGTGGGATACAAATATTCTAAATACGGTAAATAAAAGAAGTCTCACTGGCTGCAGTGGGAGATGGAGCAAATAGCAAACATATAAACATTTCAGGTAGCCCTGCTGGTCTTTGGGGGGGGGGGGAGGAATCCAAAGGTTTTATCGGGGCCAAATAAAAAGCTCGCAAAGAAATGAGCAAGCCTTCCAGTTCAACAACATCATCAGGTTAGATGGTAAGCAAAGGGAGGAAAAATGTGCAGAGGAGAAAAAGGACGTTGCTGGGAGGTTGTACAGTATAGGAACATCCTTCTCTTCCCCTCTTCACCACTCTTCGATGAAGAGTTGAACTCGGAAGCTTGCTAATTTCCTTGGCGACTTTTGTTTAGTCAGTCTCCTCATGAACATGCTACTCCCCTACTGCGTTTTCTTTTGAATCTTGTGTCTAGGGAGGGTTGCTTAAGAGGAAGAGAACCGTCATCATCAGGGCCAGATTTAGGTTTGATGGTACTGAAGGTAATGGGGCCCTTTATATGTCCAACTGTCCTTTGTCAACAACAAATTGCCCGTTTTTGTTTGTTGAATAGGTATCTACAGCAATTTACACATAACAAAACACAACACGAAACACCGTTGCTGTATGTAGGTTTTATTTATTGTTTTTTTAATCTTATATTTTGGAAATATACATCCAGTGGTTTTTCCCTTGAATTTATTTGGGGGCTCCCAAGAGAGTGGGACTCATCATTAGCCGGTGTCTAGGGCGGGTGTGTGACGGGCACGGCGGCGGGGGGTGGGGAGCGAGCCGAGCGAGCGAGAGAACCTCTCACAGCGCGCGCGCCACCAACCGCCCTGTCTCGCGCCCTCCTGAGGAGAACTCGCGGCCCGTTTGAAAAAGAAATGGCAGTTGACGACGCCGGGGAGGGGGGGGGGGGAGCTCGCGCGCGCGCGCCCCCTCCCTCCGACGACGACGACGACGACTCATTCCTCGGAAGAGCAGCAGCAAGAAGCCAGGAACGTGTGCAGGAGGGAGGAAAAGAGCGGATGGGGGAGATTATGAGGTGCCTGGGTAGCTGAACGCCTTTAGGAAACCAGTGATTGAGGACGGGCAGCTCGGCCTTCGCCTAGGTGGGTCTCTGAAAGGGAGGCGAAGAACAGTAACAACCACAAGAGCTCGGTTTCCATATATTGGGGCGTCTCCAGAGAGCAGCTTTGCCTCACGCCTTTTTCTTGGGGTGGGAAGTGGGGCGTGACCCAAACAACAACCATCCACAGCTAGAGTCTCCCCCCGCCCCGGGAAGCTCCTTAAACAACAACAACAACAACAACAACAACAATTTTTATTTATACCCCGCCCTCCCCAGCCAAGCTCAGGGCGGCTAACAACCAATAATAAAAGCAAGTTGATTAAAATACAATTTAAAAGATTAAGATACAACATTAAAACATTAGGGTGCAATCTCTTATGGACAACCTTATTATCTCACATTAAGGGTATTGCACTTTTATATCACCAAGAAGCTCAGGGTGGGATGTGAGTTCCCTGTTTTTCCTCGCCATCATCTCCTCACAGCAACCCTGTGAGGTAGGTTAGACGGAAAGAGGTTGTGCCTTTCTTTGCCCAACTTTTAGTGGACATCTGGTTCCAAGTTCCAGCATTTCCCTGCCTACCAGCCAGTTAATTAATTAATTAATTAATTAATTAATGTAAGCTATTTGTATCCTCCTTTTCAATTTAAACTAAACTAAAAGCTGCTAATGATGTAGCAGTATATAGATAGATAGGTAAATTATTTTTTAAAATCATTGTCATTTGGGTTAGGGGAGCCTCTTTTAGTGATGTAAGGAGCCAAGGTAAGAACTCAGATCTAAGATTTTTGTTTCTAGAAATCGGTGCGTAGCAAAAAAAACAAAAACAAAAAACACCACAGCTTTCATAGTATCAAAGTTATATAACATCAGTGGAAGTGAACTCAGACACAAATGAAACAATATACAACACAAACTGAGTAACCTCGGTAGGGACCTTCTACCCTTTAAACATGTTTTTCTACTTTTAAACAAATATCTAAATAAAATATGAAAACGGAATCATTTTACACAAATACGAATAAAATTATGTAAAAGCTAAGGGTTGGGAATTCAACATGATATTATTATAATGGTTCAGTCAGTGTAAACATTTCTGCTTCCAGATGGAACGATCTTGTCCTATGTGCTGCTCTGGGGTCCCTCTGTTTTCTATTATTTATTATACCTTATATATCTCACCTTTTTCTGAATCTTCTTAAACAGTTTTTAACTGGGCTTTGAAAAAGGCCACGCTGTCTTTCAATTACTGCAAATCTTTTAACGTAACAAGGTACAGAAGGAACCTAGAATTTATACAGGACATTCTTATACAGTGGTGCTGTTTTATAAATTAATATGCTTACCCCATTCCAAAAGCTGTTCAGCTAGGTCTTGGGACCTAGCAACCCAGCAGAAGGTAGGATGGTGTAAGTCAGACCCGATTTTAAACATTTCTTTTCCCTTAGGTTCAGTCTGGCTCAGCTGGCAGTAGCCCCATTGCTGAACACAGTTTTGTTAAGGGAGAAATCTGAGGGCTCCCTTGGACAAAAAAAAACAAAGACACCAGCCAGGAATACCAGAGCAAAACAGCAGCCAGTAGGCTTGGTCTTTATTGAAGAGTATCGTGACAGGATTCACAGTTACATCATGAAAGGGGAAGTCTGGTGGCAGTAATCTGAGCATCCTGGACCCTGCCCCATGGTTCACCTTGCCTTCCACCATACACCCATCAAGTGTAACAAAAAAGATATTTACATTTCCCTGTTTCCCAGCCAAGTTAATCACACCCTTTCGTCTTCATCTGGGTTTGTTATTTCTGGAATGGCTACCTGTCTGGCACTCAGGTACCAGGATGCCAGGAATTATCACTCAGGCAGAGGGGCTTCTGAGTAGCTGAGCTCACATGTCTATATGAATTTCTGGAGTTTTCCAGTGAGCCAGTACATAGATACATTTATCAGTGAATTGTTACATTTGGTATCGTGCAGCAAAGGTCCCTTGAATAGATAGGAAGAAACTCATGGGGTATTTTGTGGGGACAAATCACAAATGTCACTAAAGCGATTGTGCTGGTTTTGGTAGTGGGCTGCATGTGCATGATATCTGCTGGAGGGGCAACCCCCCCAACCTATACATAAATTCCTGCAACAGTTTGGAATAGAGGTAAAACTGAGAGACTGTTAGGGGGCAGTTCCCTAGACTGGTTGAATGGGAGGTTGTCTGCTCTTATGCTCCCTCTGAAGCAGTGGGTACACAGCTTGAGGGTACTTAGAGGAAGGGTGATATACTAAATGAATGAATGAATGAATGTAAAATAATAATAATATAATAATGTCCCGCCATTCTTTGTTCTTTCAAACGAAGGAGCAACATATTACTTACCTGGGAAACCCAGCCAGATGAGTGGGGTATGTATGTATGTATGTATGTATGTATGTATATAAATAAATAAATAAATAGGCTGAAAAATTGCTGCTTGCCATGCTACTTTAAAGTGATTAACAGACAGATGCACAAATTTTCCTTCTCTAAAGTGCCCCCCATCACCCCATCTTCGATACCAGATTTTCTTATTAAATTCTTTCTGCTTCTATTCCCTTATCAGTTTAGGAACATTAGATCACCTGAGAAGCCACTGAAACACTGAACAGAACTCTTCTGATGCAGGTACATTGAGTCAAACAGAATATCGGGGAACATACAAACATATATAATTTGAGCAGAAGGGTCACTGAACAGAATTTGAGCAGTAGCCTCCTTTTGTCCATTATGAAAAAAGATAACTAGGACAAGATTTACTCTTGTGCAGCCTCCACCTCCAGCTTGAACAGAATGGAAGAATCATAGAGTTGGAGGTAAACTCAAGGGTCATCTAGTTCAGTCCCTCCAATATAGGTACAAAGTTATGTTATCCCCAAGCATTTTATGGCCTTTTAAACGTGTTTGTGGGAGAGGGGTTATTTGTTTGTTTTTTGTTTTTGTTTTATTATGTAGCTTGTGTTCTCATTTTGTATTTTTATGTTGTGAACTGCCCTATATAAAAATTTAATCAATCAATCAATCAATCAATCAATCAAATGACTGGGGCTCCTCTGCTGCCAGCAAGGTAGGGACCCAGCCTGAGAATTTTTCTAAGGCATTCCCTGGAGACAGACCTGCTGAATTCTCTCCCTGGATACTAGAGTCTTCTGGGTAGTTGCTGTAGGGATAGGGGTCTCTGTTTCCCTAAGTCTCGGCTCTGGGAGGTTTGGACCATCAGCAGAGGATGAGTTATCTGGGTTTGGGTCAGGGGTTAGTGTGGCAGTTCCTTCAATTTAGTACCAGTTTAATATGGAGTTGCCATCTTTGTTCATCTGGTTTTTTAATTGAATTCAGGTGATGATTTTACCAACCTAGTTCTGATGTTTTCTGAGTTGTCCTTCCATTACCCCAACAGATTAGATTTGGGTGTGTGCGTGTGTGTGTTATAAAACACAACTGCAATTTCAGTGTCAGATATGGATGGCTAGCCCACCATTTTCAGGGCTATTGTACCATTAATTTGAAGTTTCCTTTTTATAGCTTCTACTCCCGTAATTAGTTCCTATTTGTTCACTTATGGGACCATGGTATTCATTACATGGCCTTTAATAAATCCTATTCCTGAAGGGTCTTACAATGGCCTTTATTTTGTCCTGTTGATATGGGATTAAAATGTCCTCTAAATAGGTGGAACATTTTTTTTTTTAAATTATTTTATGAGTGCAATTGTAATGCCTATTTAAGAAACAGCTTTTGGTCTGGCTGCAAAGAGGAAACCAGTAATTTAGCTAGTTCCTACTTTCCAGGACACAGAAACTGACTGCTTAAAAGCCCATTAAATAATGTCATGGATTTTTGAATGGACAGAAGCAAACCTATTAACAGGGCAGAAGCTGAAAATAAGTTTATGTGTGCAATAGTTCTGAAAGTCCTTATAGTGCTCACATGAAAAATGGAATATTATTTTTTTAAAAAATGTGTTATTTTGCTATCTTATTTTTTAATGATATGAACCAATATTGTTTTATTTCTTTCTAAAAAAAAACAGAAGAAGAACAATGAAGCCAGCAAAAGTGAGAATTAAGGATCAACCGCTATATTCCTCATTTAATGAAAAGAGGAAAAGTAAACAGGGCTATGAACCTGGGCATATGCTTTTATTGCCTTCAGCTCCAACAGAATCTGTTGCACAGTACTCTTTAGCCCTTCCATCAACAAATAAAGATAGAGTGCTAGATGAAATGGACGTCCTTAAGAATATCACTGTTCATCTAAATGAGGTAGGACAATCACTGAATTTTTGCATGTTCATTCCATCTTGACTGTTGAATTCAGTATGCCAACATAGTTTGCATCCTAAATTCCTCCGTCCAAATGTTTCCTTTAACTAAATAATTAAAATTGCAAGAATTAATAGGAATTCCTATCTGAGTGGACAATATTAACTACCAAGGAGTTCAGAACCCTGAAAAGCTAAGCAGCTCATTAAAACTCAATCTATTCCTGGTAATATACCAAATCATATGCATCCTAAAAACTTGGTGCTAGTATCATGGCTAGGAAGAATAGCTATTATAAAAATTGTAAAACCTAGAATCAGTTTCTTCTTTTGCAATTACCCTATCATGGTTCTTCTCAGTGTGGAAAGAAACAACTGATCCTAACCACTGCTTTTATCTACAGAAAAGAAATAATTGAATTTAAAAACTTAGTTTCTGCTGTGATTTATTTTGTTGAAATAATTTTTAGTATACATTTTTTATTTGTATTAATTATTATATAATTTTTTATTATACATATACAGTTTGCTGATACAGTTGTACCTTGGTTTAAGAACAGTCCTGTTTACGAATGATTTGGTTTACAAACTCTGCAAAACTGGAAATAGTGTCCTGGTTTGAGAACTTTAACTCAGTCTAAGAACGGAATCCAACTGGTGGAAGGGCACCGGTGGTGGGAGGCCTCATTAGAGAAAGTGCGCCTCGGTGTAAGAACGGTTTCAGTTTAAGAACGGACTTCCAGAACGGATTAAGTTCGTAAACCAATCATGCTGTTTGCCAAAGTTTTTGATACCAGAATTCTGAATTGTTTTTGGAAAGAGATAAATGTGTGTATCACAATTATTAGTTAATCTGTCAGTTGTTGCTAGAGCTACTGTTGTCATTTGAATTAATTTTTATTAATTTTCATTAATAACAATCTAATGGAGGCCACATTAATACAATACTAAATCATGCCAAATCACAATACAATAAAAAAGTCAATCAGTTCTGAATTCAATATTTTTGGATGACTTCCCATGTTCTGGTTCTGGAGTTGATGTTAATACTTGGTCCTGCTGCAATTCTCTTAATTAGTCCAAATTCCACAATGCCAATCTTAAGCCTTTGTTTTAGCAGTCACTAGTGTGATGACTTTCGTTCGTATTTAATAAATCCACATCCATTAACTTGCAGAGGGATTTTATATCCTGTAGTTTCTGTGTGAAATTTTTGTTTACCTTCTTCTTTTCATATTGTAATCAATCAATCAAAAACTCATTTCTAAGTACGCCACAACTCCATTTTCCCTCTCCAAAACTTGAAAGCACTCCAGCTTTACTTATGTAGCGTTATGTAACCTTGGCACTGATTCATTTAGCGGGTTATCTTTCTCCTTCATACAGAACATGTCTGTTTCTTAAGTCCAAATTCAGATCCATCTTAAAAGAAACAGAAGTACTTCCACTCATGGTGACCGCATTGGAGAGTTTCCAATACGTACAGTGCTACACATTCTCTTTCCTACCCCAACCTGGGGGGGGGGTGTTTCCAAGGATAATTACTCCCAGATTATCCTTAATTAACTGCACGGCTGGCATCCGCTATTGTGGGATCCATTGTTTTCCATGGTGGGAGCGCCAGAACAAGCTACTATTGTCAAACATTGGAAAGATTTTAAAAATAGACATTCCTTGAGTTTCTGCTTTTATGCTATGCTAATACTAGAAATATATAGCATTGCAGGTAGTCTAAGGGAGAAAGATATAGATATAGATTTGTACATTTTGTTGTTTAGTTGTTTAGTCGTGTCCGACTCTTCGTGACCCCATGGACCAGAGCACGCCAGGCACTCCTGTCTTCCACTGCCATTTGGACATTACTAAATGATTATTGTCTGCCCTGTAGTTGAAAAAAATATGGAAGTCCCTATCTGTCCTTGCAAAGAAAAATATGCTTAAAATTGACCACAGATGATTCCAAACCCTATTTAACTGTATAGTCAAAGGCATATAATCACAGTGCCACAGAGGCTGTCTGGAACAACTGTCTTACCTCTGTATGGCAGGGAAGTGCTGCATATCTGACAGATATATTATAAAACAGTAGCGGGCAACTTCCAGCCTACATGCCTGTTTAGGCTGGTGAGGCCCTTTAACCTATGACTCTCTTTTGGCCAAACCACACCCACCTGCCCTATTTCTGAAGTCATCTATGACTTTGTATGTGGAACAGTTAAAGTGGCTGGGGCAAATGGGTTTCCAGGTACTGCCATTCAGCTAACTGGCAGTGCTTGAAAATCCCTTCTCTCAGTACTTGTGCATCTCTTTGCTTGGTTGATTACCTGTGCTTGCAGAGAGCTGTGTACTATCAGCTGATAACTGAATCATAGAATCACAGAATTGTAGAGTTGGAAGGTGCACCAAGGGTCATCTATTCCAAACCTCTGCAATACAGGAATCTCAATTTGATCATACATGATAGCCATCTAGAGTCCACCACTTATTGTGGGAATCTGTTCCACTGTCAAACAGCTCTTACTGTCAGCTGTCAGAAAGTTCTTCCTGATGTTTAGTCAGAAGCTTTTTTCTTGTGACTTGAATCCATTGGTTTGGGTCCTAGCCTCTGGAGCAGGAGAAAACAAACTTGCTCCATCCTCCATTTGACAGTCCTTTAGCTATTTGAAGATGGCTATCAATTTTTCAAAACATTTCCCCATGATCCAACTGTTTGTCGGCATGGACAGAGAATCCTGAGGAGTGCTTTGAACCTCCCCCCCCCATCAGGTGACAGGGCTTCAAAGCACTGCATTGGGCTCCCTGGAAGCACTGGCAATCAGCTCCTTGGTGATTCTTGCAGGGAGCCCTGCACAGTGCTTTGAAGCCCAGACAATCAAATGATGGGGGCTTCAAAGCACTTTGTGGGGTGCCTGATGATACTGTGATGTCAGATGATTGAAAGGTGGGCAGTCCTGCCTATCATACTTGGGCTAGGCGGATGTTGTTGTTGTTTAGTCGTTTAGTCGTGTCCGACTCTTCGTGACCCCATGGACCAGAGCACGCCAGGCACTTCTGTCTTCCACCGCCTCCCGCAGTTTGGTCAGGCTCATGTTTGTAGTTTCGAGAACACTATCCAACCATCTCATCCTCTGTCGTCCCCTTCTCCTTGTGCCCTCCATCTTTCCCAACATCAGGGTCTTTTCCAGGGAGTCTTCTCTTCTCATGAGGTGGCCAAAGTACTGGAGCCTCAACTTCACGATCTGTCCTTCCAGTGAGCACTCAGGTCTGATTTCCTTAAGAATGGATGCGTTTGATCTTCTTGCAGTCCATGGGACTCTCAAGAGTCTCCTCCAGCACCATAATTCAAAAGCATCAATTCTTCGGCGATCAGCCTTCTTTATGGTCCAGCTCTCACTTCCATACATCACTACTGGGAAAACCATGGCTTTAACTATACGGACCTTTGTTGGTAAGGTGATGTCTCTACTTTTTAAGATGTTGTCTAGATTTGCCATCGCCTTTCTCCCAAGGAGCAGGCGTCTTTTAATTTCGTGACTGCTGTCACCATCTGCAGTAATCATGGAGCCCAAGAACATAAAATCTCTCACTGCCTCCATTTCTTCCCCTTCTATTTGCCAGGAGGTGATGGGACCAGTGGCCATGATCTTCGTTTTTTTGATGTTGAGCTTCAGACCATATTTTGCGCTCTCCTCTTTCACCCTCATTAAAAGGTTCTTTAATTCCTCCTCACTTTCTGCCATCAAGGTTGTGTCATCTGCATATCTGAGGTTGTTGATATTTCTTCCAGCGATCTTAATTCCGGCTTGGGATTCATCCAGCCCAGCCTTTCGCATGATGAATTCTGCATATAAGTTAAATAAGCAGGGGGACAATATACAGCCTTGTCGTACTCCTTTCCCAATTTTGAACCAATCAGTTGTTCCATATCCAGTTCTAACTGTAGCTTCTTGTCCCACATAGAGATTTCTCAGGAGACAGATGAGGTGATCAGGCACTCCCATTTCTTTAAGAACTTGCCATAGTTTGCTGTGGTCGACACAGTCAAAGGCTTTTGCATAGTCAATGAAGCAGAAGTAGATGTCTTTCTGGAACTCTCTAGCTTTCTCCATAATCCAGCGCATGTTTGCAATTTGGTCTCTGGTTCCTCTGCCTCTTCTAAATCCAGCTTGCACTTCTGGGAGTTCTCGATCCACATACTGCTTAAGCCTGCCTTGTAGAATTTTAAGCATAACCTTGCTAGCGTGTGAAATGAGTGCAATTGTGCGGTAGTTGGAGCATTCTTTGGCACTTCCCTTCTTTGGGATTGGGATGTAGACTGATCTTCTCCAATCCTCTGGCCACTGCTGAGTTTTCCAAATTTGCTGGCATATTGAGTGTAGCACCTTAACAGCATCATCTTTTAAAATTTTAAATAATTCAGCTGGAATATCATCACTTCCACTGGCCTTGTTATTAGCGATGCTTTCTAAGGCCCATTTGACTTCACTTTCCAGGATGTCTGGCTCAAGGTCAGCAACCACACTACCTGGGGTATACGAGACATCAATTTCTTTCTGGTATAGTTCCTCTGTGTATTCTTGCCACCTCTTCTTGATGTCTTCTGCTTCTGTTAGGTCCTTTCCACTTTTGTCTTTTATTATGGAAATCTTTGTACAAAATGTTCCTTTCATATCTCCAATTTTCTTGAACAGATCTCTGGTTTTTCCCATTCTATTGTTTTCCTCTATTTCTTTGCATTGCTTATTTAAGAAGGCCTTCTTGTCTCTCCTTGCTATTTTTTGGAAATCTGCATTCAATTTCCTGTATCTTTCACTATCTCCCTCGCATTTTGCTTGCCTTCTCTCCCCTGCTATTTGTAAGGCCTCGTTGGACAGCCACTTTGCTTTCTTGCATTTCCTTTTCATTGGGATGGTTTTAGTTGCTGCCTCTTGTATAATGTTACGAGCCTCCATCCATAGTTCTTCAGGCACTCTGTCCACCAAATCTAAATCCTTAAACCTGTTCCTCACTTCCACTGTGTATTCATAAGGGATTTGACTTAGATTGTATCTTACCGGCCCAGTGGTTTTTCCTACTTTCTTCAGTTTAAGCTTGAATTTTGCTATAAGAAGCTGATGATCTGAGCCACAGTCAGCTCCAGGTCTTGTTTTTGCTGACTGTATAGAGCTTCTCCATCTTTGGCTACAGAGAATATAATCAATCTGATTTTGATGCTGCCCATCTGGTGATGTCCATGTGTAGAGTCGTCTCTTGTGTTGTTGGAAAAGAGTGTTTGTGATGACCAGCTTGTTCTCTTGACAGAACTCTATTAGCCTTTGCCCTGCTTCGTTTTGAACTCCAAGGCCAAACTTGCCAGTTGTTCCTTTTATCTCTTGACTCCCTACTTTAGCATTCCAATCCCCTATTATGAGCAGAACATCCTTCTTTGGTGTCACTTCTATAAGGTCTTGTAAGTCTTCATAGAATTGGTCAATTTCAGTTTCTTCAGCACCAGTAGTTGGTGCATAAACTTGGATTACTGTGATGTTAAAAGGTCTGCCTTGGATTCGTATCGAGATCATTCTATCATTTTTGAGATTGCATCCCAGTACAGCTTTCACCACTCTTTTGTTGACTATGAGGGCCACTCCATTTCTTTTACGGGTTTCTTGTCCACAGTAGTAGATATGATAGTCATCCGAACTGAATTCGCCCATTCCCGTCCATTTTAGTTCACTGATGCCCAAGATGTCAATATTTATTCTTGCCATCTCATTTTTGACCACATCCAACTTACCCAGGTTCATGGTTCTTACATTCCAGGTTCCTATGCAATATTTTTCTTTACAGCATTGGACTTTCCTTTCGCTTCCATGCATATCCGCAACTGAGCGTCCTTTCGGCTTTGGCCCAGCCGCTTCATCAGCTCTGGATCTACTTGTACTTGTCCTCCGCTCTTCCCCAGTAGCATGTTGGACACCTTCCGACCTGAGGGGCTCATCTTCCAGCGTCATAACTTTTATATGCCTGTTGTCTTTGTCCATGGAGTTTTCTTGGCAGGGATACTGGAGTGGCTTGCCAGTTCCTGCTCCAGGTGGATCACGTTTGGTCAAAACTCTCCACTATGACCTGTCCATCTTGGGTGGCCCTGCACGGCATAGCTCATAGCTTCTCTGAGTTATTCAAGCCCCTTCGCCACGGCAAGGCAGTGATCCATGAAGGAGGCTAGGCGGATAGGAAGGTGATAATTGGTTCTGGCTGATGGATCTAGTTCCCACCACTGTTGTAAAGTGTTAGCAAATGATGTTAGATCCCAAGAAGTATAAAACTATTTTTCATGTTCCAAACTAACTTATGACACAATATTATTCAGCAACTATTCCACCTGCCTGAAACATAAACATTTGTACAATATACCACTGTCTTTATCATCAGGTAAAACAATGACTTTTGGCACCAGGCATCTAGTATAATACAAGTAGGGGGTATGACTAGTGAGAGATGATAAAAATAATTTGGCACTTTCTGCAGCTTGTACAGACAATGGAAGGTGTGTATGCAAATGAAGAAATGAAAGAAGAAGAGGCAGCGGCAGCGGCGGTGGCGGCAGGGGAACCTACAGTACCTGTATGTTTATTGAATAATTTCACATATTCTTTGAATAGGTTTTGTGTATGCTAGTTGTGTATACTGTATTGATATACTGTCTTACAATAGTATATTAATATAATAGTTCTTACAAATAGTTGCTGAAGGATGGATAACTGTTGACTTCCAATTATGCCGTGGTACTTTTTTGTCCTAAACCAAGGATGGGAAATGACATATCTGGGAGCAAGATGTGTCCCTCCAAGCCTCTCTTCAGCCTTCACTATTCTTCCCAGGTCATGCCCCCTTCCTTGGTCACACCCCTCACTGGTCCTCTGTGTCATCCTCTTTGGGGGTTGGCTGGAATTTGTCCTTGAACTGTGACAATTCATCTTGCTTATTAGGATGGTGGATAGAAACCTATGACTGCAGGTACAAACTTCTGAGTTCTGTGTGAGTGTAGCTTACTGAACAAAAGCAAGTCAAATTTGTTTGCATCTAGCCCCACCCACTTTAGTCACTTGTTCTGCAAACCACTGGCCTGTGAACCCCACTCACATTCTAAACGATGCAATGGTGTTAAATATTTGAACAGCACTTTGTTCAAAAAGTAGATGTTACACAATTTCCCACAATATTTCTCCCCAAATACTAGATTCAGGAAAGGGCAACCAAAATGTTCACGATGCTAGAACATTTCCCCTATGAGTAAAGATTACAAAATTTAGGGGCTTTCTAATTTAGGAAAAAAGACATGTAAAAGTTTATATGATATTGATCCCTCTCTAGTGCTAGTATCTGATGCTAAAATCCAGTGTCATCTGATAAAGCTTAATATTAGAAGATTCAGGACAGAGAAAAAGAAGTACCGTATTTCTTTTTAATTCAGTACGTGATGGCCATGATGGCCAGACCTGCTGCCAGCACCCACCTCTTACCCTTAATGTTGCAGGTCTGGCCATCACTTAATGAATTCTGTAGCTTGATTATCATATTTGGGAAGAAATACTATAAGGCTGCAGTGGTGGCAGAGAATAACTATTTATGCTGCCCTATAATAGGCTCAATAATGCATTTTATTAGTTTTTCAGTGAATGCCACTTCATTTTCTTAACTTGCTTTGTTTGCTTATACCAGGGAGCTCAATTAGCCTTGCTTAGTATAAGGGACGCGGGTGGCGCTGTGGGTTAAACCAGAGAGCCTCGGGCTTGCCGATCAGAAGGTTGGCGGTTCGAATCCCCGCGATGGGATGATCTCCTGTTGCTGGGACCCTGCTCCTGCCAACCTAGCAGTTCGAAAGTACGTCAAAGTGCAAGTAGATAAATAGGTACTGCTCTGGCGGGAAGGTAAACGGCGTTTCCGTGTGCTGCTCTGGTTTGCCAGAAGTGGCTTAGTCATGCTGGCCACATAACCCGGAAGCTGTATGCCAGCTCCCTCGGCCAATAAAGCGAGATGAGCACCGCAACCCCAGAGTCGGCCATGACTGGACCTAATGGTCAGGGGTCCCTTTACCTTTACCTAGTAGGAGAATTTACATGAGAGTGATTGTCTCCACAGCTAGAGTAATCTTTGAATTCCACAAAGTGACAAGGGAAACTTATGTTTTATCATGCAAATGGCAACAGGACCTGGGGAACAGGAGAATAACTTACTTCCTGGTTTGGGAGCTTGCATTTCACTGATACTTGCTGCTAAGTAGACCATAGGATTGAAATCTAACTAATTGCCTCATTCTTTTCATTTTACAGAAAATGCAAATATTTAATTTGAAGCAAAATAGCTGGTTCAATATGTTAAAAAATTAAGAACTGAAACAAAGCTAGTATGGGTTTTAGAAGTATTTTAACCAAATAAAGATTACATTTTAAAGAAATTAAAGTCAGAAAACGCTGTAGAAATGTTTTCCCCCTTTGCTAGAAGGAAGAACATGAAGATATGACTACTTTCCTGATATGTTGTTCACAACTCAGTAACCAGTTAGATTGTGCACTTCGTGAAGAAAAACAGGTATGTACTATGAAATATGAACAATAAATATAAATTTATTTTGCTGTTGGATTTGCATTCTCTCTGTACTTGGTAGGTTTTTGTCTTATTCTAGCACAATATTTAGCCTGTTCTCTTACCAAGTGCATCTGGAACTCAGCACATTTCCCAATACTATGTGTTTAATTTGACTCTTCCCTGAGCAATGTGAACACAGTGCTATTGTGGTAAACAGAGAGTCTCTCTCTTAAGGTGAACTCACTGTTGATCCTAGTACATACCATTCACAAGCAGGAATTGGTTACATATGTAGGATGAAATCCCTGGTTGATGCCATATCCAGTGCAGATGAGACAACACATAGCCATTAATAAACACACAGCCATTAATCAGCCCTTGAGAGAGAATGGTTACCACCAGCAAGAATATTCTGTTGTGAATAAGACAAATACCCTCTTTTTCATTTAAGCATGACCCTTATGGCAAGGACAGAATAAGCTTATTAAAACAGAGTAGCCAGCTAATCTTGTAATAGGAACATTAGCTGATATGACTGAGGATGATGCATTAAAACCCATCATCACTTGTTATTTTGTTATTGTCAGCTCTGTTCCATCCCCTGGTTCCCCTGGTCCCAGCAATTCTCAAAACCCAAGGTGGTCTCAGAGTGCCCCAGATAGGGAACTTACACAAAAGAGTTCAATTGCCCCCTTTCATTATAGTACTGCACTTAAGTTCTCATTTGATCTTGAAGTCATCACAGAATCAGTGGTGTACCTAGGGGTTGGCTAGATTGGTCACTGCCAAGGGATGTGTGTGCAAAATGGCAGCTCTCCACTCTGCCTCAAAGTGGCTAGGAGCCCACTGGCCCACTTTTGTGCTCCCTGGACCACTCCTCCACTGCTCTATGTGGTCAACATTTCCTTGCCAAGGACACAACGGACAGGGAGGGAGGCACCAATACAGCTACTTGTAAAGGGGGCAAGGGAGCCTAGGTACACCTCTACACAGAATGAAATGCATGTATGAATGAAAAGGGTAGTTATTTACTGTGAAAACCTTGTGTTATATGTACAAAGATAATTTTTTGGTGTTAAATTGTAACAGAAACACCTAGTGATTTTAATTTTCTTTCTTAGATATTAGACTCATTGCTTCAGGTAAGAAATTCATTCATTTATTAATATTTCTAAAACCTGTTGTATTTTTTGAAAAAAATGTAATTTGTAAATGCCTAATTTTATTTATTTATTTTTCTTCAAGTGGTTTGAAAAGGAGGTCCGTGAGATGGAAGAGGTAAACTAACATTTGGAAAGTTGGTTGAATAGTTTTGATAGGAAATATGTGGAATATATTGTTGCAGTATAAAGCATTGTTACAGTGAAAAGCATTTCTGTATATGCATTGCTTCTGCTTATTTATGACTAACTTTACAACATCCATTTCAGTGGAGTTTGCTCCCATGTAAGTTTAAATAGCTTTGCTAATTTAGTGATTGCTATTTAGGTTGCATGCATCTCTTGAGTGTGCTCAAGAAAAATATTAGCATTGTAAATATGTTTGCTTGTTATACATATGAAAAAAACAACACAGAAATGTTCAGCTTTTACATAAGCACTCCATGCAGTGCTGGGGCTTGGGATACGTCTCCCCTATCCCATTCCTGCAACCTTTGCTATGTGGTTTAATAGTCTGCTGTAACAGCAGCTGTGCATCAAGTCAAAGATAAGAACATGCAGAATAGAAGGGGAGCTGTTCAATAAGGCTTCACAGGGAGCAGAGCAAGATTTGTTTGTTGCTTTAGCCTGGGTTAGGCTTCCACTGAGAAGTTTTATAGTTGATCCTCCTCTTCCTGACCTGTCATCAGGACTTTGAGCTGGATATTTGAGGAATGATGCATCCTCCTCATGAGTAGGGCTTAGTGAATGTTGTCCTCATGAGGCCAGGCAGACCTGAGCTTCTGGTTTTGATTTTCTATAAAGAAGAGCCTCTGCTCCTGTAGTCCTGGGGTTGAACTTCATGGGTCTGAGCCCATTCAGGGTGTAACAGTTGCTTTAACCCTGTAGCCACTTTGATTGGGGTATCTTCTAAGATGGTGGTCTCAGGAGAGTTATTGTTCTCAACTGATTCAGAGGTTTTCAACCTTTTTGAGTCCATGGCTCCCTTGACCAACTACATTCTTTCTGCGGCATCCCTGTGAGGCTCAGGAGCCCAGTTATGTCACCCCTTGCTTGCAGAGCTGGCAACCTCTAATCCTTTTTTGAACCCCCTTTTGGAGTGTTCCCTTAGTCTCCTCTCCCCTCTCCTTGGGAGTCCTCTGGGCAGCTGCTGTTGCCACGCCCCCATGCCCCAAAGAGAGATGCCTCCTCACACTGCCCCACAGGGGCCTTGGACTTGTCTGTCCATTCCCAACAGCAAGGACTGGCAGACTGGCTGGCTGGGCTCCCTCACCCGCTCGCTGGTCAGGGGGTGCTGGTTGCCTCAGCTCCTGGCAACCAGCATCCCCTGACCAGCCCCAGAGGCACCATTCGCCTGGCGAGCTTGTAGTCAGGGCTGCTACAGTAAACAGCACACAACCCTTTGGGAAGCAGAGACATGAGAGGGCATCAGAGGAGGGAGGGACGGAAAGAGGGACAGAGGCTAGTGTTGCCGGCAGCACTACTGACTATCATTCAAGGCACTCCAGGGTTGAAAACCACTGCTCTAACTTTATCAGTACTGGGGTCAGTACCTCTGAGGACTTGCGTAGCTCAGGTCTGGTCCCCCAGTTAACAAATAACCTAAGTTAATAGGATAATATATTGTGCTAATATGTTGATATCTATATTTCAGATAGGCGAGGAAGAAATGATTCCAGATTGGCAAATTCCAGTAGCTGATAAAAGCATATCAAATAACATTACTAAATTACGGAACCGCATCCAAAAGCTTGAAGATTTGAAAGGCCGTATTCAAGAACTACCCAAGCTTATCCAGCTTTCTGCTCCTAAACAGTAAGAGTGCTGTGAAATAGTTAGGTTTAATAGCAATAAAATATAGATTTGTTATATGGATTATTGAAAAATAATCCCTGGCCTGATCCACAGACCCTTCTTAGGGAGGTCTATTGTGGTAGCAGAACCTCCATGCTCAGGGACAGCCTACCTGTGAATACCATTGTGCTCAGATTGTGGGCTTCCCATGGGTTCGGCCACTGTGAGAAGGGGCTGCTGGACTAGATGGGCCCTGGCCGGATCCAGCAGGCTCTTATGTCCTTATGTGCAGCATAGCTGTCAACTTTTCCCTTTTCTGGCGAGGAATCCTATTCGGAATAAGGGAATTCCCCTTAAAAAAAGGGGGGCGGTTGACAGCTATGACTTACAGTTCAAGGCCCAGCTTCTCCAAACAGGCTCAGGAGATGAGAAAGACCTCTGCCCTGAAGTGGGAAGGGAGGACGAGTTGGGCAGCTGCTTGCAATGGAGGCGTTGTCAGCAGCCAAGTCCTCTGCCTCGCTGGCCGGCCCCCCGGCCCCCCTGAACCGCCCTAAGGCGCAGAACCCGCCCACGCTGACCATGGTGATGGGGGCGGTGAAGACCCTGGATGAGTGCAAGGGGGCCTCTGTCGTGGCCATAAAGCGCTACATCCTGGGCACCTACCCCGGGGTGGACCCCATCTGCCTGAAGTACGGCCTGAAGGTGGCCCTGGCCAAAGGCCTGGAAAGGGGCTGCCTCATCCGGCCACAAAACTCTTCCACCCTGGGGGCCACAGGGAGATTCAAGCTGGGCACAAAGACGCCAAGGGAAAGAAGAGCCAGGAAAAGCATTCGGATTCGGATGGAAAAACAGCGCCCAGACCGAAGAAAGCGGCCAAGAATCCCACGGCAAAGGTTCCTGTGGAGAAACCGAGGCAGGGAGCAATCGCAGAAGGGGAGAAGGAGGAGGTGGCTTCCAGCAAGAGGACCAAGGCGAAGGCTAGCAAGCAGCCAGGCAAATCTCCAGCGAAGCCCAAGGCAAAGAAGTCCCGGGGGGGGGGGGGGGGGAGAAAGAGGCCCCAATCCTCCAGAAACGGAGCTCTTCCAAGGCCCTCCCGGCAAACACAGCCGGTGCCCCCCTGGAAAGCTGTGTCTAAGGAAAGCAAGACGGGGGGCCAAGGACGAGGGGCCCCCCAGGCAGAGGCCAAGGCGCCTGCAGCGGCCAAGGAAACCAAAGAGGCCAAGGGAGAGAAAGCCAAGGCTGACCAGGGGTCCAAGCCCCCCAGAGCCAAAGGGGGGAGGAAGGGGGAGAATCCAGCCAGCCGGGGCCCCAAGGAGGCCTGAGGGGCCAGGTTCCGCGGGGGGGGGGCAGGATGGGGGCACATGGCTGTCCAACGCGGCACCCTCCATCCGCCTTGTCCAAGGGAGAGGAGACCCCTTTTATGGTGGGGGCTGCCCCTCCACCTCTGGCACAATGTCCCCATTTATGAATGGACTATTTATGAAGCAAAGACCCTGTTTTTAAACACCGTGTCATTTTCCAATAAAGTTCAGAATGCAGCAAAAAAAGGAAAATTCTGGGCTGCATCAATAGGAGTATAGCATCTAGATCAAGGGAAGTAATAGTGCCACTGTATTCTGCTCTGATCAGACCTCACCTGGAGTACTGTGTCCAGTTCTGGGCACCACAGTTCAAGAAGGACACTGACAAACTGGAACGTGTCCAGAGGAGGGCAACCAAAATGGTCAAAGGCCTGGAAATGATGCCTTATGAGGAACGGCTAAGGGAGCTGGGCATGTTTAGCCTGGAGAAGAGGAGGTTAAGGGGTGATATGATAGCCATGTTCAAATATATAAAAGGATGTCACATAGAGGAGGGAGAAAGGTTGTTTTCTGCTGCTCCAGAGAAGCGGACACGGAGCAATGGATCCAAACTACAAGAAAGAAGATTCCACCTAAACATTAGGAAGAACTTCCTGACAGTAAGAGCTGTTCGACAGTGGAATTTGCTGCCAAGGAGTGTGGTGGAGTCTCCTTCTTTGGAGGTCTTTAAGCAGAGGCTTGACAACCATATGTCAGGAGTGCTCTGATGGTGTTTCCTGCTTGGCAGGGGGTTGGACTCGATGGCCCTTGTGGTCTCTTCCAACTCTATGATTCTATTCTATTCTATTCTAAAATATTTTATTAGACCTTTCCATTTCCTGAAGCACAATCAAGGTGTTTGCTTAACAATCATGAAAGACTAGAAACTATCACATTATCACCATCTTTGTACCTCCTTAAAGGTCTAACTTAACAGTATGACGGGCTGAAGAATTCTGAAAACCCCCCCAAAGTATTTGTTGTTTGGTTGGCTGATTATATCTTGTTATGAGTCTGTTTCCAGAACACTAAAGATTAAGCATGAGCTGTTTCCTATGTAATATTATAGTGGATTTTATTAGTAAATATAAGAATGCATTTTTTTTACCAAATGTAACCTAATTATATAAAATTAGAAATTTTATTTTTTTCAAAAACTGACTTTCAGATTATAAAATTAGATTTTATATTTATAATATTTCACATTTTGACAAATACTTCATATTTTGACAGTGAAAAGAAAAAAGCATTAAGCCCTGTGGCTCCTGCTCCAAAAGACCCAAAACGTATTATTGAAGGTAAGGATAGTGATTTAATATGGAGACAAAGGAAGCAAAATATATGTTTTGGGTGGAGTATGAGAAATAAGTCGTGGAGCATGCTGGACAGGTCATAAGGGGGCTGAAGGAAGCTAGGCTAACAAGGTAGGAAATTGGGGACATGGAAAATAATATATAATTTGCCTTTTAAAAAATGGAGTGTAATCTTGATTTATTTGAAACTCTCTGCTTTCTTTAAACAATTATTGTATTTATATTAATTTGTTTCCTTATTTTCATAATGATATTTGTAATTTCTTCATATGTAAGGGATGGAAGAATTTGTCAGTTTTGCTTCTCCTGGTTTTTCCACATTTCTTTAATAATTTGCATATTTGTATTTTTAAAATCTTTACAATCCCCCCCCATGATTTTTGTTTGATGTTCTCTTAATATAACACATTTTTAGCAGTTTTGAATAATGTACACATTTTCAAGCAATTTCTCATAACATAAAGCACATTGTATTTTATTTTCATTAATATACAGTATTGCATTTTCTGAAAGTGATAAGCACTGCGCATAGTGTGTGTGGGGTTATATCACTGTCTTATGTGCAGAGAGAAGGCATGCAACAAGGTCTCAGTCAGTTGGCTACTCTTCCTTAGTCTGTTGGCTTTATATGCAAACTGAATTGAATTTATCCCCCATACCTAGTATATATATGTGTGTATGTATTTTGTATTAAAAACAAAATTAAGCAAAGAAAACCACTTTGCTAGACTTGGAACTACAATATTTGGTTGAGGCTTGGAGTCAATGAGATTTACTAGGAGTAAGTTTCATAAATGGCTACTGTCATCTAGAGGAGCACTGTTAGTTGTCCCTCATGCTACAGCGGCCCAGCTGGCCTTCGCTAGATATCAGGCATTTAGTGCTGTCAGGCCTATGCTCTGGAAAACACTTTGGTAGGCACCCATGGTTTTGACTTGAAAGCTTTTTATGCTGACAGACCTTTGCACCTGTTTAAACTGATTAGCCATTCGCTTTAATGATTATTTGTATTGCCTTTAATGCTGTTTTGTTTTGTTGATGTACACCACCCTGATACTATGATTTGGCGGCATACCCACCTTACAGCACCAATCCCATTTGAAACAAAACTGCAAAAACTGTATGTCAGCTGAGAAAATCAGAGACATTTCTTTCTTTTCTCCTCTTTTGGTAGCAAGAAAGAAAGGTTCCCAGAAAGGTCCTGATGGCCCTTAGTTTCTCAATGTGCACCAGGGTCATTATTTCTGGTACAGTCTCTGTATGCTGAAGGGTTACAAAATGGAGTCCTTCCTGCTTCCTGTCGCTGGAGCACTGCTGTTGCTGTCCTGGTTGGATAAATGATGTTTAAGGAGAAGGATGTATGTGTTGGGGGTTAGGGAGTTGTAGAGCTGGGTAGGCACAAGGGAGGGGGTGAGTGCAAGGGGTTGGGGCCGGGCAACTTCTGAACCTGGAAAATAGGTGGTTATTTATTAGTTTTTTAAAAACTAAATAAATATTGACTTATTTCTAAGTCAGTTTTTCATGAGCTGATGAGAAGTAGCTTGAAATTTAAAAAGGAACATCATAACTACCCATTTCTTCTTTATTTTGTTCCCAAATCATAGCCTATTTGGTAACACTGTTTCAGAGAAAGGTCAGTTGGCACTATCATTTCATTGATTTGTTTTAGGGTTTAAACTTAGCCAGCATGGATAAGAAGAAAAAGCTTTCTATTTTACAAGTTTATTTATTTATTTCACATTTGCTAATGAATTACTGTATATCCATTTGAAGAACTGCTACAATAGTTTAAACTGAGTAATAAAATGTTTTGTTTCAGAACTTGCTATGAAAAATGCAACTGAGGATGTAATGAATATGGTACAAGTTTTCCAAGATGATACAGGCCAACGTAAGTTCTTTAGAATTTGAAATGGCAGTGGCTGAAATCTCAGGGCATGACCTGGTCAACATTAACCACTTTAATATCCCAGTGGAGGAGTGGAGAATCAGAACCATTGGGGGTGGGAAATTAGAACCAGGAAAAGCCAGTCTGGGGCTGGAACAAATGGTGGGAAGAACCAGAATGAAAACTGGATGAAGCCACCCCTTTTCTTTCATGTTTTGTGGCACCCCTTTTGTGAGTCTTCCTCTTTTTGTTACTTCCTTTCTCTACTCCTTTCTGCTACCTGCTTCTAGATGCCACCACTTCCTATACCCAGGGGTGCCAACTTGAATAAAATATTGGGGAGGGGGGCAAGTAAGCCCTGCTCTGCATTATCAATCACATGACATGATACAGGACACCATTTGAATGGCAATGTCCATTAACTGGGGGGGGCAGTCCCCTCAAATATTTTACTGGGGGGCTGAAGACCCCTCAGCCCCTAGGAGTTGGCTCCTATACCTCTGCTGCTGGTGAAGGCTGCCATTTCATGCACCCCACAGAGATCCACTGGCCCTATTCATCCCTACATTTGCATGGTCAATATGTTTATACTCTTACTCACATGACAAGTAGCCTGCATATTCTGCCCTGAGTAGATGTTGGATTCATCTATAAGAGATGCCTGTGATCCTCCAGTTAGCAATAATAGTTGAGTGAAGGCTAGGATAGATCGTTGGTGGAGAGAGGCAGTGATGGTGGAAGCTTGACCCTGTTTCCACCAGACCTATTTGTGAGTAATTGAACAGGAGTGGCTGATTTTATAAGCCCAACTTTTCAATTACTAACAATATATCCAGAGTAGGATGTGAAGAATCCTTGCCTGTATGAATCATGGCACTGGAAGACCTAAAGTTTCTGTTGAATTCTACATTTATATGTGTATGTTTAGATTGCATTAAATAATAGAACAAATCTATGTCCTGCATAATAAATATTTAAATTGAATTATTAACTGGGGCTGGTCACTTTGGATACCCATTTCTGGGGCAAACTAAAGGCTATAAACTTAACTAAGTAACTAAAATTTTGTTGTTGTTGTTGTTCAGAAACAATGGAATCAATGAATAATCGCATGCTAGAAATAATGAAAGTGTTTGAAAGACAGACAAACAAGTTACACAGGTACATAATCTATTTGATATGTTACATAGAAAAACTGTACAGTATTAATGCATTACAGGAGTACAGGCAAAAACCAGGTTCACAGAACTTTGAGCTTTTAGCCAAGATGTGCCACAAATTCCAGGTGCATATGCCACTTGTAATCCATGCCCAGGTTGGACAATGATATTATAGCTTGTAGAAACTTATATTTCCAGTTAATTATAGTTTGGCACTTTTGTAAGGAAATCATCTTCCGTTCCCAGAGAACTATGGCTATCTGTGGATTGTTAAATAAACCTTAATATAAACACTGCATATAATGAAATCTCACACTGTGCTAAATTTAGAGGGTGCTTATGTCCCTTATCTATATGGGGTTGTGACATATATGATATGAGCAGGGTCTTTCCTGCCAGATGTTACTGAAGTTTTACTGAAGTACAAACTAAGAAACATATATTTCATACTTTTCAGAGTTTCAAATGAACAGGATGTGCTGGAAGGTGTGAGTATAATACTTAAAAAACTGTATGAGTGTTCACAGCAGTCACTGGATGCAAAACACTATAATATAGAAAATAATAGAGCAAGTATTTGTATTTTTAATGTAATAAATGAGATGAATTTTAAATACCTAAAAAGAAAACAGGAGAATTGCACCAAATTTCAGATAAGTAACTTGAACCCACTGAATTTTAATATCTGACAAAATTTTGGAAATATATCCAGAAATATTGAAGTTAGCAGATGGAAAAGAGAAGTAGAAATGAATGTCATCAGCATGCTGATGATGCCTCACCCCAAACCCCAGGATTACTTAGAGCAGCGTCTAATGGGGGATGAGACATGCCTTATCAGAAGACCTCCACCAGAGTAAGCTGTTTGCGTGCCATTATGCTGTGTCAATGTTAAAAATGGCTTCACCATTCTTTTTTAATTTTTAAAATTTTCATTCTTTTCATTTCTTAATTTCAATTTTTAAACATTTCTTCAAATATGTTAAAACTATTTCCCCTCAAAATGTTTATTCTACCTAGAAATTACAGAAGATTCAACAAGAATTTCGAAAGCTTGCAGAAGAGAAGGAGATAATGGAGGATGAACTTCAAAAGATGAAAGGTTCAGAGGTAATTATTTTTCCAAAACTTCTACTTAGAAATTACAGAGGATTCAACAAAATTTGAAAGCTTATGGAAGAGATAATGAAGGATGAACTTAAAGATGAATGCTTCACAGGTATGATTATATTTTATAGAAGCTGCAATCCTAAACAAACTTATTGGGGAGGAAACCCATTGAACACAGACTTAATTCCAAGTGAACCTGCATAGAATACATGCATAGAATACATCACTATCCAAACATTTGCTTATCTGAATATAAATAATTATTCCCAAACTTCACTACATGCACAGCTGATTCAGATATCCAAACAGCTCGAGTTTGTTCACTTACTTACCGTATTTTTCGCCGTATAGGACACACTTCCCCCCCTCCAAAAACGAAGGGGAAATGTGGGTGCGTCCTATGGGGCGAATACAGGCTTTCGCTGAAGCCTGGAGAGCGAGAGGCTCTCGCTCTCCAGGCTTCAGGAAGCTCTGCGCAACTCTCCGGAGCCCGGCGCCAAGCCACGCCTGCCTCCGGAGGGTCGCACAGAACTGCCTGCCCTCCCGGGGTCCACGCAGCTCTGTGCAACCCTCCGGAGCCCGGTGGCAAGCTGCCTGTATTCCGAAGCTTCGCGCCTGGGCTTCGCACAGCTGTCCGCAAGCCTGGGGAGACCGGCGCGGCTCCCTAGGCTTGTGGATAGCAGGCTGTTCTGGGGGCTGGGGTCGGGGGAAGCTCGGGCTTCCCCCGTGCCAGCCTCGTGCCGGGGGGGGGAATAATTTTTTTCTTTATTTCCCCCCCAAAAAACTAGGTGCGTCCTATAGGGCGGTGCATCCTATGGGGCGAAAAATACGGTACTTGTTTGTGATTTGCTGGTCAACGGGAACCATTTTGTGGCAGAAACCATAATGGGGTTGAAACCATTTTGGGGCAGGAACGGGGAGAGATTGGACATTTCAGAAAGCAGGGTTTTTCCTTTGTCTCTCTTTTGCTGATTGGCCACAGCTATTTTAGGAAGAAATGGTAGAAGAGGGAAGAAAGCTCGCAGTTTGGAAATGTTGCTGTAAGCAATAATGGAAATTGCCCAATGAACAATTTCCTGGGAATGTCCGTAAATTGGGACTTGCGTGTAGATGGGTTCTGCCAGACATTATACAACAGGAAAAAAGGATGAGAAGGGGAAAAGGAAAATGAGCAAATTCAGGAACTGACTTTTATATTGCATTATGTTCTTATTTATTGTAATATTGCTTAATGGATACAAATGACACAGTACAACAGATATTATAGATGAAGTTGTTTTTCCATCCCTATATATGATGTTTTGTTGTTTTGTATACTCATGGTGTCTGTTTTAAGAGTGAAAATGTAACCAAGGGGAAGAGTGGAAATATTCTTCCTCTGTCAAAGGTCTCTGGAAGTTCTGTGCTGTTTCCTGCCCATTGCATCTTCAAATGTACAACTGTACAAGGAACAAGTAATAATTTTCCTATGTAACCTATGTGGTGTTTTCTCACATACGTCTAGCAGCAAGAGAAAGGAGTGCAAGATACAAGGAAAAAAATGTTATCAAAACTGGAAAAAGAAAAAGCAAAAGTTGAAGAAAAACCACCTCAAGTAATTGTAGAAAAGTAAGAAAAGTAATTAATAATCTAGATTGCAATCTACACTCCCTTTCTTGGTTTGTTTGTGGGGTGGAAGTGTCCTCCACCCAACCCTGACAATCTTCACTGGGTTCCACCCACAGAATGAGGCTAGCATCATTTTGCTCACACAAAACTCGCCATTTTTTTGCCAAGTGAATGGGAAACTAGAAGTGCCTCTATTGGTATCCCCACCAGTTGCAGCCTGCCGAAAGCCCCACTGAGAAGTTTGCTTCTGGCTTCAACTAGATTTGCTTCTAAAAAATTGACTTAAATTACCATTAGGAAGTGATATTCACCAAATTCAAGATAACTAACTCTGCAACCCCATGCATGACTATTAAGAAATAAGTTCTGTTGGGTTTACTTGGGTAGGATGCTTTGTCTTGATACTGTGTGTATATGATATTGGCAGTTTTTCCTTACTTAATTTCACAGCAGCTTTTTGATACACTTGGCCATGTCTTCCTCCTGAACTGATTTGGTTAGATGGGTATTAGAGGCATTTACAGTGGTTCCAACAGCATTAGGTGATCATCTCTTGCCCCCCTGGCAGTCATGCAATGGGGTGTTGCATGGTACCATTTTGTTCACACTGCTGTTTAACAGTAGCATAAAGCCATTGGAAGTGATAATTGGGTCATTTGGGGTGACATGTCATCAGTTGCACTTCTCTGTAACAGCTGAATTCAGAGAGGCTGTTGACTGGTGCCTGGACTATGCGGTGGGTTTGATGAGGGCCAATACATGGACCCTGGACTCTGAATCCTGGTAAGACTGGCAGTTCCCAAGTCTGTATAATTGGTCAATTGCCTGCTTTAAACAGGGTCATGCTCATCCTGAAAGAGCGGTCTGGGATGCTTCCAAATATCTCTCTTTCACTGGGGGCCCAGGTGACATCACTGATTAGGAGTGCCTTTTACTAACTTTGGCTGATAGGACAGTTGCAACAATTTCTGGACTGGGATAGCTTTACTAATACTGCTGGCAATGCACTGGTAAAATCCAGATTACTTTGCAGTGGTTCTATACAGAGCTGCCCATGAGGTTTAGTCAGAAGCTGCAGCTATTGCAAATTGCAGTGCCTTGACTGTTCATTGGCATAGACTATAGCTACCATGAATACACCATTGCTGAAAGAACTGCAATGGCTGCCATTCATTTATTTCATTTATATCCCACCCCACAACTCTTTGTCCTCTATAATCCCCACAACAACCCTGTCAGGTAGGTTAATCTTAGAGGCAGTGATTGGCCCAATGTTACCTAGTACGCTGCATGGCTGAGTAGAGATTTGAACCCTGGTCTTCCAGGTCCTAGTCCATGGGTAAGCAAACAAAGGCCCAGGGGCCGGATCCGGCCCAATCGCCTTCTAAATCCAGCCCATGGACAGTTGGGGAGTCAGCGTGTTTTTACATGAGTAGAATGTGTCCTTTTATTTAAAATGCATCTCTGGGTTATTTGTGGGGCCTGCCTGGTGTTTTTACATGAGTAGAATGTGTGCTTTTATTTAAAATGCATCCCTGGGTCATTTGTGGGGCATAGGAATTCATTAATCCCCCCCCCAATATAGTCTGCCTCCCCACAAGGTCTGAGGGACAGTGGACCGGTCCCCTGCTGAAAAAGTTTGCTGACCCCTGCCTAGTCCGACACTCTAACCAGTATACCACACTGGCTCTCAGTGTGATTAACTACCAAGCTAAGTTAAAGCTGTTGCTATTAGTGTACAAAGCTCATACAAGTTTGGATAAAGATACCTAGAAGATTGGGTATATATAACAAATGAGACAATTCAGTCACTGAACTCTATGGGAGAGGGCCTTCTTCAGATACCATCTCATCAGCAGTCTGTTCAGACAGACACTTTCTATTGTCTATTGCTTTTACATATGGATTTATATTTAATTGTTTTAATCTATGGAGTTGTTTTTATTGTTGATGTTTCTGATATGAAATTGGTTCAAGATACTTTATGTGAAGTGATTCATAAACTGAATCAAATAAATAAATGTTTGTGAACATTCTGCACCATTGTTCTAGTTCCACCAATTTATGAGACCTCTGCAGGAACAATAAAATGTATTTTGAGTGCCTTATTGACTTCACAGTTTGCCTTATATGTTCTTAATTACAGACCAGCAAGACCAACTCCTATTCCTTTAAAGCACAAAGAAGCTGAAAACCAAAAAATGAAAGAAGACTTAGCTAAAGCTCAGGTAAGATGTATTCTAGTTCCCTGCAAATGTCTTAAGTTCTAATTTTTTAAAAAATAAACTTTAACCCAAAAAGGGTTGATAAAACCACCAACATATCACAGAACATATTTGTGGACTATGATTTGATAGTGGTTTTCTTTTGACTGGATTTATGCAGCAGTGGCTGCTGCCTACAAAACCTGGTGGGGCTGCTAGGAGGTCACAAGGGCGTAGCCAACTTGTTCTGGTTTTCTACATATCCTCCTCCTTTCAGGGGTATCTGGTATAGGGGGTGCAAGGGACTTCAGCCCCCTAAATATTTTGAGGAAGGGGGTAAGGCCCCCCAGTATTGAGGGGGCTGCCATCCCCTGCCACCCCAGAGTGCCAGGCAGGGGCGGGTGGCTTGGAGGGTGATTTTCACCCTCCACATCCTTTGCTGTGATTGCCAGAATGGCCTAGCAGGCACCTGCACATCCCACAGGCATGGCCCAATGGGTGTGTGTTTGCCTCAGTGTTACACGTGTGACATCATACACGCACGAGAACTCCCCCAATGTTGGGCCCAGCTTGGCATGCCTGCCTCCTTTGCAAAGATGCCTCAGACATCTAGGCACTGCAGTTTTTCAAACAGTTAGCTCCTAACTCAGAGGTCGTCAAACTAAGACCCGCGGGCTGTATATGGCTCGGTTGTCAAACTCGGTCAGCCCCCACACTAAACAGGTGCAGCGCAGAGGCCTCGGCGTGCGGAGGCTGACTTCCGTGATGCGGCATGGTTTCCGATTGGCTGCAGGAAGCTCCTGCAGCCAATCAAAAGCCGTGGATGACTCTGGGCGGGCAGCGACGCTGGCATGGCTTCTGGGCGCCACCCCTTCCTTCCTGCTGAGGTAGCCGAGCAGGAGGAAGCGGCGGAGGCTGCCCAGGCCAGCAGCATCTGGGTGCCACCCCTTCCTTCCCGGAGAGGCGGCAGAACAGGAGGAAGCGGCGGTGGTGCAGAGGCTGCCTCCACCGCCCAGGCCAGCGGCATCTGGGTACTACCCCTTCCTTCCCGCTAAGGTGGACAAGCGGAAGGAAGTGGCTGAGCAGGATGCCAATGCAGCCACTGAGAGAGAGGATGCCGATGCTTCCAAAGATGAGGCAGCGTCGGTGGCTGCGGCATGAGTGGCATAGGTGGGGGGGGCCTTTCGGGAGGGGGGTTGCTTTTGGGAGGCAGTGGGTCCTGCCCCCCCAAGGTCTGAGGGACAGTGGACTGGCCCCCTCCTGAAAAAGTTTGCTGACCCCTGTCCTAACTAAACTGAAAAGTGATTTAAAAAGGGTTCCTGCTGTTACCTTTGCTTCTCTACAAAAGTTATGTGCTCCCCCATGCTGGTTCTTTCCCTTATCCTCTTTTTCAAAGAAGCAGTTGACACTCAAAATATTTCAGTTTTATTACTTAGTATCTAAGTGTCTTACCGTGCTTCAGGAGGGTCACTGCAGGCACAAGTTCTAATGTCAGTTTATGCTAGAATAATTGTAATTGACTCTGAAGTAAGCCCCACTGAATTCTATGAGGACTGCTCCAAGCTCAAATTCAGCCCAAAAGAAGCACCTTAGTTCTGCTCCAGAACTGGCAGGGAAACAGTAATGTGATGGGAAGCAGACAAACCAAGAGAGGGCAGCAAACAGAGTGAAAGGCTTATGGGGCTAATGTAATGATAATATAATAGTACTCCAGGGTACAAGAGAAAATTCACAGGGAATAAAGGATCACATGGAAGGGTTTAAAAAGCAGAGGCACCAAGGAAAGAAGCTACTCAAGGTTCACAAACTTGTTGAAGGAGGAAACGAAATCATGACTACCACAGTTCAGAGAAGCAGAGGGGAAGGGTATAAACAAGACAACTCACTCACACATGATCCACTCCCAGAAAAAGTAAAAGCTTCTCAGAAAAATAAACTGATCTGATAATCAAAGGCACAATCACCCAAACTGTAAGGGACGGGAATGAAGTGGAAGGGGAAGAGAGGAAAGATGTGTGAGGAGGAAAAGTAAAATCAAAGGCTGACAGGGGAGAAACAAATTCCAAAGACATTCCAAATCACACAAAACTTACCCAGGGCAGCAAGGAACAAATGGGGGTGGGCAGGGGGAGAGAAAATACACAATAGTACAAGAAGTGAGGCTAAATGTGATCAAGGAGAAAAAGAATCCCCTGGATGGGAAGCAGGAAATCGACAGCACTATATAATATGAAGCAAACTACTTCTTCAACTCTGCAATCCCTGCCTGTGGGTGATAGATGGCAGTATCGACGTATCTGATGAATTTACCGGTATGTCCAGAGAGAAAGTAATCACTGTAACATTAAGGGAATCCAGTCAGAGCCTAAAGCAGTTCCAGGCCAGGTTTTACCAAACAAATAAAAATAAATGTCCAGAAGCTGATGTTACACTTCAGGCAAGGAAGATGTATCCAAATTTGCTTTTATTTTCTTGCAGAACTATCCCTACAGTTTATGAAAGGACTAAAACAGGATTCAGCAGCTATTGTCCTTCTCAGTTGCCCCAGCAGTTAATGCTTCTCTTTCCCCAGAGTTCTACTCTTATTATTTTTTACTTAAGGGAGTAGTAACATACTAATATAAATTTTCATAAGATTAAGGCAGATCCAGGTGATTCACACCTAAGCACCATTTCCACCATCAAGTTGATGGATTCACCAGATCAAAAAATAATTGCATGTTCCAGCACGCCCATCCAAAAAACAAATTGATGTAACTAAAAAAAGGAAAAAAGCAACTATTGTACAAAAAGAGATGTGTCCCCTGGTGGTCACTTGCACAAATAACCAGTTCAGTTGTGTGGGGCTGGGGATTACCAAATAAAATAAATAATAAGCAAGCACCTGATCAGTGAAGACAAACATAGTCCTAGGGCCTAGTTAATGCTGTGTGGCTTTCAAGGAAACAGCTCTGAGCATTCTGGGACTGCACTTTAAGGCAACCCTTCCTCATCCTATACAGAAGCTTGAGTTGTGCCCCAGTAGTTGCCAACAAAGGTCCGTATAGTTAAAGCCATGGTTTCCCCAGTAGTGATGTATGGAAGTGAGAGCTGGACCATAAAGAAGGCTGATTGCAGAAGAATTGATGCTTTTGAATTATGGTGCTGGAGGAGACTCTTGAGAGTCCCATGGACTGCAAGAAGATCAAACCTATCCATTCTTAAGGAAATCAGCCCTGAGTGCTCACTGGAAGGACAGATCGTGAAGTTGAGGCTCCAATACTTTGGCCACCTCATGAGAAGAGAAGACTCCCTGGAAAAGACCCTGATGTTGGGAAAGATTGAGGGCACAAGGAGAAGGGGACGACAGAGGACAAGATGGTTGGACAGTGTTCTTGAAGCTACGAACATGAGTATGACCAAACTGCGGGAGGCTGTGGAAGACAGGAGTGCCTGGTATGCTCTGGTCCATGGGGTCACGAAGAGTCAGACACGGCTAAACGACTAAACAACAACAAAGTTTGAGTGTACCAGCCTTCACTGGGGACTCGGCTATACTGGTAAAGGAAAAGCGTATTATATAACACTGTGACACCAGATGGCGCTGTGGAGTCCCATCTTTCCAACCAGATTTCCTTGTATGCAGTTTGCAATGTGTTTAACTGAAACGCTTCTTTGATGTCTCTAGATCCAGCTTAGGTCTATGGATACAGTAGTACCTCGTATTATGTAACCCACTGGTTACGTAAATTTCATAACAACAACAACAACATATTTATACCCCGCCGATCTGGGTGGGTTTCCCCAGCCACTCTGGGCGGCTTCCAACAAAACACTAAAATACAATAAAAACACTTTCATGTTACGAAAGTGACAAACCTGGTTTTGGACCAAGTATTGGACCGGGTTTTGCCGCATGCGCAGAAGCATTCTACCGCCCTGCGCGCATGCGCAGAAGCAGGTCCTCCGGTTGCAAAAACCTTGGGATCCGGCCGGACCTCCAGAACAGATCCCATCCGCAAACAGAGGTACCACTGTATATATCTTAGTTCCATGTTTTGCAACATAGCTGTGCTTGAAACTACTAGAAACTACTAGTCCCCTTTCCTTCCTTCCTACCTTACCACCCAACCCTTTCCTCCTATCCTTTCTGGTCAGTCCTCTTTCTGTTTTGTTCCTCAGGTCCTGATCTGAGCCTTGAAAAGCACATAGAGCTGAAAGAGGAAGTGTCAGAGAGTGCCGAACTTCCTACTTCCTCTTTCATCTTTATCTACAGGACCTTAGGGATAAAATATTTTCTGGACATATTTCAATTTGGCAATAATTAAGCTGTTACTTGAGCTTTACTATACAATATCACACAGCTGTGACACCATTATCAGTAATGTTGTTTGATTTAGAATTACATGCTTTATTATAGCTTCAAAAGAGAAGGATTCTTTTATTTCACAAAAAACATATCCCCCTCACTTATTACTTAAAATAATCAGGCCTCATTGCCTGTCCTTTCAACTCAATTAATGCATTGGTAATTAGTTTCTTTTGGAACAGATCCTCTGGGACATATTTGGAAAACCAAATATGTTTGCATATCTTTATGTAATAGGTGCAGTGTATGTTTGTGGAATGGTAGAGCATATTCTAGAATGTTGCTGTATGGATATTTTGATAAGAAACCCAAATTGTGAATTTAAATGTCTAAACATATTTTGACATTGTAGGCAAATATTCAGACTCTTGAACAAGAGAAGAAAATGCTTGAAGAGAAACTACAGAAAGCCTTAGAGGTATTGCTTGCACAGTTTTGATGTTGTTAAAAGGTAAAGGTAAAGGACCCCTGACAGTTAATTTCAGTCGTGAATGACTCTGGGGTTGCAGCGCTCATCTCGCTTTACTGGCCGAGGGAGCTGACGTTTATCTGCAGACAGTTTTTCCGGGTCATATGGCCAGCATGACTAAGCAGCTTCTTGCAAAACCAGAGCAGCACATGGAAACGCTGTTTACCTTCCTGCCGGAGCGGTACCTATTTATCTACTTTAACGTGCTTTCGAACTGCTAGGTTGGCAGGAGCTGGGACCGAACAATGGGAGTTCACCCCGTCGCAGGGATTCGAACCGCCAACCTTCCGATCGACAAGCCCAAGGGTCAGTGGTTTATACCATAGTGCCACCCACGTTGATGTTGTTAAGAAACATTAAAAGGAGAAACAGTTACAAGTTGAGGTTTCATAAATTGTTACTAGAACTAGGGGTTGTTTTAAACCACCATGTGTATTCAACCTTCATGCCCACTCAACTGCTGTAGATTTCTCAGATCACAAAGCACAGTAGAAGGAATACCGTATTTTTCGCACTATAGGACGCACTTTTTCCCCTCCAAAAATGAAGGGGAAATGTGTGTGCGTCCTATGGTGCGAATGCAGGCTTTTGCTGAAGCCTGGAGAGCGAGAGGGGTCCGTGCGCACCGACCCCTCTCGCTCTCCAGGCTTCAGGAAGCTATCCCAAGTCTTGCAAGCCCGGCGGGATGTCCCGCGGGCTCGCAAGGCTTGCGGGCAGCAGCCTGCACCCAAAAGCTGGGGACAGCGGGGAGGCGCAGAGCCGCCACCCCGCTATTCCCCGACCTGATCTGGAGGCTGGCGGGGGAGAAGCAAGCCTGCTTCTCCCCCCCCAGCCCCACAAGCTCGGGGGATAGGGGGATGGCGAAGCGCCGCCATCCCGCTATTCCCCGACCTGATCTGGAGGCTGGGGGTGGGAGAAGCAAGCCTGCTTCTCCCCCCCCCCCACCATCCCCACAACCTCCAGATCAGGTCGGGGAACAGCGGGATGGCAGCGCTCCGCCATCCCGCTATTCCCCGACCTGATCTGGAGGCTGGGGGCTGGAGAAGCAAGCCTGCTAGCTTCTCCCCCCCCCCCAGCCCCACAACCTCCAGATCAGGTCGGGAAATAGCGGGATGGCGGCGCTCCGCCATCCCGCTATTCCCCGACCTGATCTGGAGGCTGGGGTGGGAGAAGCAAGCCTGCTTCTCCCCCCCCCCAGCCCCACAACCTCCAGATCAGGTCGGGAAATAGCGGGATGGCGGCGCTCCGCCATCCCGCTATTCCCCGACCTGATCTGGAGGCTGGGGGTGGGAGAAGCAAGCCTGCTTCTCCCCCCCCCAGCCCCACAACCTCCAGATCAGGTCGTGGAATAGCGGGATGGCGGTGCTCCGCCATCCCGCTATTCCCCGACCTGATCTGGAGGCTGGGGGTGGGAGAAGCAAGCCTGCTTCTCCCCCCCCCAGCCCCACAACCTCCAGATCAGGTCGGGAAATAGCGGGATGGCGGCGCTCCGCCATCCCGCTATTCCCCGACCTGATCTGGAGGCTGGGGGTGGGAGAAGCAAGCCTGCTTCTCCCCCCCCCAGCCCCACAACCTCCAGATCAGGTCGTGGAATAGCGGGATGGCGGTGCTCCGCCATCCTGCTATTCCCCGACCTGATCTGGAGGCTGGGGGTGGGAGAAGCAAGCCTGCTTCTCCCCCCCCACCAGCCCCACAACCTCCAGGCTTCAGGAGAGCCCCACCGCCAGCCCCACAAGCTCGGGGGACAGCGGGAGAGGCGCAGCGCGCCCTTCCCGCTGTCCCCCGACTTGGCTAGAAGGCTGGCGGGGGGAGAAGCCTGCTCCTCCCCGTCCCCAGCCCCGCAAACTCGGGGGACAGCGGGAGAGGCGCAGCGCGCCTTTCCCACTGTCCCCCGACTTGGCTAGAAGGCTGGCGGGGGGAGAAGCCTGCTCCTCCCCGTCGCCAGCCCCGCAAACTCGGGGACAGCGGGAGAGGCGCAGGGCGCCTTTCCCGCTGTCCCCCGACTTGGCTAGAAGGCTGGCGGGGGGAGAAGCCTGCTCCTCCCCGTCGCCAGCCCCGCAAACTCGGGGGACAGCGGGAGAGGCGCAGCGCGCCTTTGCCGCTGTCCCCCGACTTGTCTAGAAGGCTGGCGGGGGGAGAAGCCTGCTCCTCCCCGTCGCCAGCCCCACAAACTCGGGAGACAGCGGCAGGGGCGCAGCGCGCCCTTCCCGCTGTCCCCCGACTTGGTTAGAAGGCTGGCCCAGCCCCGCAAACTCGGGGGACAGCGGGAGAGGCGCAGCGCGCCATCCCGCTGTCTCCCGACATGGTTTGGAGGCTGGCGGAAGGCTTCCTCCTCCCCCAGCCCCGCAAGCTCCCAGAGCGATGCCAAAGCTGCGCGCAGCTTCAGCATGGCTCTGGGTCCCGTTCTGGGGGAGGGGGAAGCTCGGGCTTCCCCGCCCCAGCCCCGCGCCTGGCGGGGGGGGGAATAATTTTTTTTGCCTTTATTCCCCCCCCCCCCAAATCTAGGTGCGTCCTATGGACCGGTGCGTCCAATAGTCCGAAAAATACGGTAAGTGAAATTGGTCTAGACTTTAGTCCTACAGCTTCATATTCCATTGTTTCTCATGCCCACAATAACAAGACCGGCAAACTGTCCTTGCTTGTCCACTTCCTTCCTGTCAATAGTGGTTAGCCACACTTCTCCCTAGCTATTTTGTGAGATTTTGCCTCCTCTCTCTTTGACTCTTTTCTTCAAAATGCTTCTACCTTTCCAATGCTCTGGTTTTCATTCCATTGTTTACTTTAGCCTTCAGTTTAGGCAACTGCTTATGCTGTACCCTTATGCTGTACCATTCTTTCAGTCATTCAGATTCCGGGCTTCCTGCTATTTAGCTTCCTTTTTGGTGAGACATTGAATCATTAAATTAGAAGGACTATCAAAGATAATGTAGCCCAACCTTATGAGAGTGTAGAAAATGCACTTCTACAGCATCTTCGAGACATGGATGGCACTGTGGTCTAAACTACTGAGCCCCTTGGACTTTCTGAAAGTTGGCGGTTTGAATCCGCACGACGGGGTGAGCTCTCGTTGCTCTGTCCCAGCTCCTGCCAATCTAGCAGTTCGAAAGCATACCAGTGCAAGTAGATAAATAGGTATTGCTGCGGCGGGAAGGTAAACTGTTTCTGTGCTCTCTGGCACTCGTCATGGTTCTCTGTGTGCCAGTAACAATTTAGTCATGCTAGCCACATGATCTGGAGAGCTGTCTGTGAACAAACACCAGCTCTCTCAGTCCAAAAAGTGAAATGAGCGAGATGAGAGCCACATCCCATAGTCACCTTTGACTGGACTTAAATGTCCAGGGGTCCTTTACCTTTACAGCATCTTCTATAGGTAGCAGCTCACCCTCCACTTCAAAGCTAATGAAGAAGAATCCACCACTATCTATCGCAGTTTGTGTCACTGTTGAGCAGCCTGTACTATCAAGAGGTTCTTCCTAATGTTTAGTTTAAACTATTTTTATTTTTATTTGAATTTGTTTGATTCTTAGCCACTGGAGGAACAGAAAACAAATTGCTCCATTGTCTATGAGCTTCTTTCCAACCTTCAGACTGCTGTCTTCCCCAGCTGCTGCTATTCTTAATATTTGTGTGAGCTTTGTTACAGCCCCACAGAAACTCAACTGTTAACTATGCTGGCAGTTTGATTCCCTGAGCAGCTGGAATGTTTGTCAGCATTCTATGCTATTATGCCAATTTGTCCAATTGGTGTTAGAAACTTTATCTCTAGGCAAGTAGAATATAATACAGATAATATTGTCGCTTCTGAGCTGAAACTGTTTAAATTACTGTATTATGGTTTCATTTTTCTTTTAGTCTTGTCTGGGTTTCTCCAGATATTGTTGACTCTAGGACCCCCTCCTCACAAACTGTACATTTCACATTAAATAAATGTAAATGTTGTATTTATTTTTTTAAAATAGGAAGCTGAGATGGCTAAAGTTCATCTTGCTGAAGTACCTCCAACTATTCCAGATTGGCAGTTCCCTTATACAGAAATTGAAGATGAAAAGGATGTGCAGAAGAAAGGCAAAAAAGGAACAAAACCTAAAGGAACAGATGTACAAAAATTGGCTGTCAGTGCACCTGAAACAGGAAAAGCAGGAGAAACACTTCCAGCAAAAGATGTGAAACAGAAGAAAAAGGGGTCATTTATAGACATGGATAAAGCACTGAGCGAAGGTCAGGAAAAAGAACCTGAAAAAAGGATGGAAGAATCACGGAAAACAAAAGCAGGGAAATCAGAGGGAGTAAGTAATGCTTCCTATTTTGGTTACTAAAATATAGATAAATTTTGAATGAAGCATTAGTTACAAGTTTATACTCCTTCCTCTGATAACATTATGGGTATATATTTTGAATATGAATGGCTAGGCATAACATTGGCAATATATGTATGCAGCATGCAGCTTGAGCCTTTTGTTAAGCAGAGGAAATAATAATGGAGGAGATAGGATACTGACTCACTGAAAATAAAATCAACCTGGTTTAGACCAGTGATCCATCTCTAGACCAATATATTGACAATGGCCAAGTGGCCAGATGTAGGTATCCTACAAAATTATAACTGCATAGGATTTGAAGAACATCACTGCAATTCCTTTGTATTTACTTTAGGTATTTACATTTAGATAATGTTTTATTTGAACTCTATATTTTTATTTCTTTCAACAATTTATGTGAAGTTTAATTACAAAGTTCAAGGGAACCCATACAGTGAAACTAAAAATGAGTTAAAACTGTAAAATTAAAATTCAGTTACAAAACCTATTTGAATAATAGCCAGATGTTCAGCAGGGAAGGGGGCCTGGCTGACCTTAATTGGAAGGGAATTTCATAAAATTGGACACAGTACAGAATTCATGTCTCCTGGAGGTTATGACCAGTATGTCTGAGCCATGGGGGTCAACTAACAACATCTCCTCCAAATAGTTCAGTGATTGAGGAGAGTTGTATGATATCATGTGGTCCCTAAGCAAACATAGGAGCAGAACCTTTGTGATGCTCCTGTCTATGTGCTTGCACAGAACAGACCTTCCTGCCTTCTCTGTGGAGATTTTAAACAATAAATGCAAGCAGAAGAATTTCTTACTGTAAAACTGGCTCTTGTTTAGAAATAAATTTCTCCAGTCCAGAAAATGGTTAAAAAAGCTTAACTAACAGAACTTAGCTTCAAACATTACAAAAACAAGGAAAACATGTTGTCTCATACACAGACAAGCATATTCTGCTCCCAGTATAAAGTTTGTAGGCTTAATTTAGCAAAAATCCAATATTTGAGCTTTCCAGCCTATCTGCCTCAGGCTGTTTAGAACAAAGGGAATATAGATTTAACATGGAGGAATTTAGTCAATTGACATATATAAACATCTTGTAACCCAATGTCAGTCTCATGACTCCAGAAAAATAGAATAATAGAATTGTGGAGTTGGAAGGGACCTTGATAGTCATCTGTTGTTGTTGTTGTTTAGTCGTTTAGTCGTGTCCGACTCTTCGTGACCCCATGGACCAGAGCACGCCAGGCACCTCTGTCCTCCACTACCTCCTGCAGTTTGGTCAAACTCATGCTGGTAACCTCGAAAACACTATCCAACCATCTCGTCCTCTGTCGCCCCCTTCTCCTTGTGCCCTCCATCTTTCCCAGCATCAGTGTCTTCTCCAGGGAGTCTTCTCTTCTCATGAGGTGGCCAAAGTACTGGAGCCTCAGCTTCACGATCTGTCCTTCCAGTGAGCACTCAGGGCTGATTTCCTTAAGAATGGATGCGTTTGATCTTCTTGCAGTCCATGGGACTCTCAAGAGTCTTCTCCAGCACCATAATTCAAAAGCATCAATTCTTCGGCGATCAGCCTTCATTATGGTCCAGCTCTCACTTCCATACATCACTACTGGGAAAACCATGGCTTTAACTATACGGACCTTTGTTGGCAAGGTGACATCTCTACTTCTCAAGATGCTGTCTAGGCCTGTCATTGCCCTTCTCCCAAGAAGCAGGAGTCTTTTAATTTCGTGGCTGCTGTCACCATCTGCAGTGATCATGGAGCCCAAGAAAGTAAAATCTCTCACTGCCTCCATTTCTTCCCCTTCTATTTGCCAGGAGGTGATGGGACCAATGGCCATGATCTTCATTTTTTTGATGTTGAGCTTCAGACCATATTTTGCGCTCTCTCCTTTCACCCTCATTAAAAGGTTCTTTAATTCCTCCTCACTTTCTGCCATCAAGGTTGTGTCATCTGCATATCTGAGGTTGTTGATATTTCTACCGGCAATCTTAATTCCAGTTTGGGATTCATCCAGCCCAGCCTTTCGCATGATGTATTCTTCATATAAATTAAATAAGCAGGGAGACAAAATACAGCCTTGTCGTACTCCTTTCCCAATTTTGAACCAATCAGTTGTTCCATATCCAGTATTAACTGTAGCTTCTTGTCCCACATAGAGATTTCTCAGGAGACAGATGAGGTGATCAGGCACTCCCATTTCTTTAAGAACTTGCCATAGTTTGCTGTGGTCGACACAGTCAAAGGCTTTTACATAGTCAATGAAGCAGAAGTAGATGTCTGTCAGGGGCTCAGGAGCAGAGGCGCAAGGGAGAGAGGAAATGGAGAGTGAAGGGGAAGAATCTGAGGGCAGCGGAGGGCAGAATGACAGTGACCCGAGAGATTCCATGAGCCTCTCCAGTGAATCAGAAGATTCCCAGAAGGGGGCGCCGATGGCCAGGGCAAGGGGGTCCCAGGGGGGACACACCAGAAGCAGGGGGCCAGTGGAGACTCCCAGAGCAGTAGCTGGAAATCAGGGCCAGCTTCCCCACCGGAGCGTAGTGGGGGGGAAGAGTCTCATAGGTCAGAGTCAGCGTCTCCCCCGGCAAGCAGCGACAGGAGCAGTATAACGGTCAGAAGGAAGGTGGCAGGCTGGGCGCGCGCGCCAAGTTCAAATGTACAGGCGCGCAGGACAGCAGAAAGCCCAGATTGGGAACCAGGTCCTAAAGCCCGCCGGAGGGAGGGGGAAGACTCGGGGGAGTCAGCGTCAGAAGAGTCCAGAAAGGGGAAAACCCCGGCGGACAGGCGGACCCAGAGGAAAAGGGAGCAGAGGAAGAGGTGGAGCAAGTCTAGGGTCTTAAACTGGTGTCTGGGGGGAGGAGACTCAGACGGAGCTTCGACGGTCTAGGGTTTCAGACGTAGGGCTGCGCGCCACGGCTGTCAAACCAATAATGAACTTCAATAAAGACTTTTGTATATAAAGAGGAACTGGCGTTGGTCCTTTGTGAGCTGGGACCAGGGGCAGCTCTGACAATGTCTTTCTGGAACTCTCTAGCTTTCTCCATAATCCAGCGCATGTTTGCAATTTGGTCTCTGGTTCCTCTGCCTCTTCTAAATCCAGCTTGCACTTCTGGGAGTTCTCGATCCACATACTACTTGAGCCTTCCTTGTAGAATTTTAAGCATAACCTTGCTAGCGTGTGAAATGAGTGCAATTGTGTGGTAGTTGGAGCATTCTTTGGCACTGCCCTTCTTTGGGATTGGGATGTAGACTGATCTTCTCCAATCTTCTGGCCACTGCTGAGGTTTCCAAATTTGCTGGCATATTGAGTGTAGCACCTTAACAGCATCATCTTTTAAAAGTTTAAATAGTTCAGCTGGAATACCATCACTTCCACTGTCCTTGTTATTTGCAGTGCTTTCTAAGGCCCATTTGACTTCACTTTCCAGGATGTCTGGCTCAAGGTCAGCAACCACACTACCTGGGGTGTACGAGACATCCATATCTTTCTGGTATAATTCCTCTGAGTATTCTTGCCACCTCTTCTTGATGTCTTCTGCTTCTGTTAGGTCCTTACCACTTTTGTCCTTTATTATGGTAATCTTTGTACGAAATGTTCCTTTCATATCTCCAATTTTCTTGAACAGATCTCTGGTTCTTCCCATTCTGTTGTTTTCCTCTATTTGTTTGCATTGCTCGTTTAAGAAGGCCTTCTTGTCTCTCCTTGCTATTCTTTGGAAATCTGCATTCAATTTCCTGTATCTTTCACTATCTCCCTCGCATTTTGCTTGGCTTCTCTCCCCCGCTATTTGTAAGGCCTCATTGGACAGCCACTTTGCTTTCTTGCATTTCCTTTTCATTGGGATGATTTTCGTTGCTGCCTCCTGTACAATGTTACGAGCCTCCATCCATAGTTCTTCAGGCATTCTGTCCACCAAATCTAAATCCTTAAACCTGTTCCTCACTTCCACCGTGTATTCATAAGGGATTTGACTTAGATTGTATCTTATCGGCCCTGTGGTTTTTCCTACTTTCTTCAGTTTAAGCTTGAATTTTGCTATAAGAAGCTGATGATCTGAGCCACAGTCAGCTTCAGGTCTTGTTTTTGCTGACTGTATAGAGCTTCTCTGTGATGGGATGATGAGCTGCTTGTGCGTAAAATGCAAGTCCCTCAGAGTTTGATCAGGTTTTCAAACCTCTGCCTGTGACGGAGCCCCTCCGGCATGGCTGCGTCAGTCGCTAGCAGAATCCGAAAGTGGTTGCTTTCGGAATCGTTTCCAACATAAAAGCTCCTTAACGGAAACACGTCTTCTGGACTCTCAGCGTGACAGTTTCCGGCGAGGAGTGGGTGTCCCTATAGGAGGTCCTGAGACCTCCCCACTGTTTTCGCTGGAAGCGTCTCTGAGCCATCCCTCCGACTCACTTTCCCTTGGAGTTCCTCCCCTCCCCCTACTGGTTCCCTCTTCAGCTGCTATGTCTCTCTCAACCTCAGTGAGCCTTTGCACCTCCTGTCCTTCCGATGGCAGTTCCCTGACATCCACCTCCCCTCCAGGGCCCCCTTCACCCCCTCCCGTTTCCTCCCCTACGGGCGGTGAGGAGGTAAAACCCCTGAAAGAACCTCCCTCATCTTCCGAAGTCTCGAACACTTCCCTCCACTTGTTGCTGTCCCTGGTCACTCGGTACTCCTCGTCATCGGAGTCCATTCCCTCTTCCAACTCCGAATCCGCGAATCCTTCCAGTTCCTCTTCCTCGTCGGTGGTGCCGAAATACTCCCTCCTAAACCTTGCTACAGGCTGAGGTTTCCTCGGGAATCTTTGGTGGAACGTTTCTATTAAAACCTCGTCATTGACCTCCCCTGCAGTCACCCAGGTGTTTTCTGACTCCGGTTCCCCTTCCCACGCCACCAAATACTCCACCTGATTTCCCTTCCACCTGGAATCGAGGATTTCCGCTACATGGTTGCTGTTTTCCCTTTCTTCCAAGGCGGGTTCCCTGGCGTGCTCCCCTTCACGTCCCCCCCTGT